CCCTGCCCGGCTCCCTCAGCCACTCTAATCCCCACTGACCATCTCAGGATTGCTGGCAGCATCCTGGATCAGCACCCCAGGCTGGCCAAACCCCCTGAACACAAACCTTGAGCCACAGGGAACAATTCCCAAGGCCCTCATGCCCCTGGAGCTGGTGGCTCCTGCTCCTAAATCAGGGCAGATCCAGCCCCAGCTCTGACTGTGGCACACAGGACAGCTGGGCTGTATTTTCCTCAGGTGCCACATTTTTGCAAAAGCCCAACCAGGAGATAAATAAAGCCCCATTAGTGGCAGGCTCAGCCCCTGGATGAGCACAGGTTGAGGTGCCTGAGTTCCAAGGAGATAACAATTACCAGCAAGTCATTACTTACAAACAGGATAATTTTTCAAGCAAGCCTGAATGAATCTGCACATTCCCAGCCAGCAAATAGCTTTGAGAACCCTCTGAGCTGGAAAAAACCATTGTGAATCCCCAGCATCTGCTCTGCTCTGAGTGTATTTTAAAAAATATTTGTTTAGGCCGATAATGTGGAGAGGGAACTGCGGCTCTGAGTGTGGCTGAGATGTTTAGCCCGTGGCTAAACAGGATTTTCCTGTTCACAGTTATGATTTCGTGTTTGGCCATAATAAAAAGCCTTGATGAAAAATATAGATGTTCCCAGCGTGAGCACTGTCACATCACTGGTTTATAAATAAACATGGATTACGTTCAAAAGCCTCCCTAAGCACGGTGACCTGGCAGTGCAACGCCTCCCTCAGCATCCCTCAGCTCCCAGGGGATGCTGCAGCTGCTCCAGGGAACTCCAAGCTCCCCTGCCCACAGCAGGGGCTTGGAACTGAGGGGTCTTTATGGTCCCTTCCACCCCAAACCCTTCTGGGATTCTGCTGGGGAGGGGAACAGCTTTTCTTCCCAAAGAAATAAATCCTGGAAATAAAACCTGGGGGTTTGGGAGGGACAGAACACCAGGGATGGTGGAGCTGTCCCAGACTCTGCAGCACTGAGTGTGCTCCCACAGAAATAAAAAGTGGGGCTGATGGAAATCAGGGGGAGTGACTTTTCATATGGGCAGAGAGTGATGGGACAGGGGGAATGGTTTTAAACTGGAAGAGGGCAGGGATGGGTGGGAGATTGGGAATAATTCCTGGCTGGGATGGGGTTCCCAGAGAGGCTGGGGATGCCCCTGGATCCCTGGAATGCCCAAGGCCAGGCTGGAGCACCACGGGACAAGGTAAGGTGGGCCACCATGGCAGGGGTGGCACAGGATGGGATTTCTGTTCCCTCCCACCCCCAACCCATCTGCAGCCCCTGTGCCTGTGGGGCTTTGCTGCTTTGCCTGCACAGCCCAGGGAGCCCAGCACAGCATCCCCATGGCTCCTGGAGGAGAATTCCCAGCTGTGGAGGAGAATTGCCAGCTCTGGAGGAAGGAATCCCAGCTCCGGAGGAGAATTCCCAGCTCTGGAGGAAGGAATCCCATCTCTTCCTTCCCTCTCTCCTTCCACCTCCCACCGCTGCCCTGGCCCAGCTCTCTCCCCCTGGCAGCACAGCCCCATCAGGACTCATTCCCACATCTCCCATCCCAAATCCCACCTCCCAAACCGTTTCCCCTCCTCCTTCAGGGCAGCTGCTCTCTGCTTGTCACTCCTTTGGCTGGGAAGTGTCATTTGTTTACCTTCTTTTCTTCCCCCAGTGCTGTGAGATGATGGCTGCAGCACCAAGGTGCTGGTAAATGACAACCTAATGGCCAAGCTGAGTGTGCTCTAACAGTAAAAGAAAGAAATCACTAATCAAAGTCTCTCAAATTATATGGAATACTGACAGCTTTTTATGCTGTTTTAATTAAGTACACTGTAATTTAAACCACTGAACCATAACAACCCAACGTTTAGTGTTATATCCCTGGGAGAACTTTAAAAATATGCATAATTCTGCCTGCGAGGTAATTGAGGGATATTTTTGGGGTGGTGGGGGTAATTAAAGGTTATACAGGAGAGTAATAGGAATTTTACTCGGGTGCTGATGGTGTCAGCAGCTGTGCTGGAAGCTCCTTGGGAAGGTGATTCCTGTGCCCAGCTGAGTTCCTCACGGGGGTTTTGGGGGCTCCCAAGGGCCCTGGCAGCTCCTGTGCTGAGGGGCACCTGTCCTGTCATTGTCAACTCTCCTGGCATTGTCACCTGTGCTGGCATTGTCACCTGGGCTGGCCCCAGGAGCAGGGAGAGGAGGGGAAGGGATGGATTTACCCCCAGGGGAAGGGCAGGGATGGCTCTGTGCTAGCTCAGGGCCCTGTGATGGGCAAGGACAGAGTGGTTGGGGTGATGAGGATGGAGGAGCAGGAGGGGAGGAAGGCAGCCCTCAGTTATCCCAGAGCAGCAGGGGTCTCTCCAGCCCTGTAGAAGTGTCCTGAGGGATTCCAGAGCCACCTGGAGAGCTCTGGGTGCAGAGGAGCCTTCTGGGGAGGGAGGGACATCAGGGCTGGGATGATGAGGATGGTGAGGAAGGAAACCAGCCCCGGCTATCCCACAGCAGAAAAGGCTGATCCAAGCACTTTTTTCAATGGCACACTAATACCACAAGCAAGGCTTCGCCTTAAGTAATGAAAACAACTAAATTACAAAAGGCTATCACACCACACCACGTCCAAGAAAAGGACCAGCTAGCGTGGCAGAGCTCAGAAAATGCAAATGGCTTAAGTCCTTTAACTCAGAGGTTCAAATCCTCTCCCTAGCTTAACCCAAACCATCTCCCATGACTAACCACCCTCTGCTAACCAACCTTATCATAGCCCTCTCCTATGCCCTCCCAATCAAGTCGCAGTAGCCTTCCTTACGCCAGTAGAACGCAAAATCCTAAGCTACATACAAGGCCGAAAGGGCCCAAATATTTTTGGCCCTTTGGGGCTTCTACAACCTCTAGCAGGTGGAGTAAAACTATTTATCAAAGAGCCTATTTGACCATCAACATCCTCTCCAATCTTATTCACCACAACCCCGATACCAGCCTTACTCCTAGCGATCTCAATCTGAACCCCATCGCCCCTTCCATTCTCCTTAGGGGCAATGGGGTGCAAGCACTGGTGGGGAGTCCTGGGACATTCCAGAGCCTCGTGGGGACCCTGCCTGGGTGCAGAGGAGCCAGCCCAGCCCTGCTCCCCGTGGGGAGGAAGGCACAGCAGGGCTGGGGTGATGAGGATGGTGAGGAAGGAAATCAGCCCCAGCTGTCCAACAGCAGCAAAGGGTGATCCAAGCACTGCTGAGGAGTCCTGGGACATTCCAGAGCCACACAGGGATCCTGGCTGGACGCAGAGGAGCCAGGCCAGCCCTGCTGCTGCCCCTGGGCAGGAAGGAGGGATGCTCCAAGCTGGGCACCCCTGCAGGGGCAGCGTTTGCCCCCAGAGCTGCCGGGCTGCAGAGCTGCAGCTGCCACGGGATGTACAGGGAGATTCAATGTGAAAAGTGGAAGATAATGTGCTCACACACTAATGGGCACTGAACTAGACACAGGCTCATTTTTCACATCATGTCATCTCTAAGGTTTGAATAAAAAGCAATGGCGAGAATGAGCCTGGA